TGGAGCCCATTTAGCTCAGCAAGCGCTGTGAAAGAGATGAAACTCTACAACTGATGTCAGCCAGTGAGGTGGTTGCTTTCCAGGCAAACTCAGTACAAACACATTGATTTCTACACTGACAGTAGTAGAAATCTGAAGGATGGAGGAGAATGGGTTACCCTTTGAACTGAATAAATCCAGTATATATGTATTTTTTGAGGCAAAATAAGGGATTGACCAGTTATGGGCGAAATACAGCAGCAGCACTGGCAGTTTTCACAGCAGTTGTAATGGCAGTAGCACCAATGGTAGCTGCAGGTAGTATTTGTACCTGCACAACAAAAATGACATTGTAGCAGTAATAGTAATAGCAGCTGGTTATTATTTTATTAACTGAGCATTTTTCAGTTTTGTGTAAAGTTTCATTGATTGTAAATGGTTGTTTACTTTATTGACCACTAAGGTGTGCACTATGTACTATGTACTTAGGCCTCAAGAAACCCTTTGGTGCTGGCAGATATAAACCTGCAGGATGCCCTTTGTGTGCACACTTTTTTTTTTTTTTTTTCTGTGTGTGCAAAACAAATTTGTGGAAGGGATGCCCTTATTTTCCACTAGAGCACCTGCCCAGCAAAATGTCTGTGCAAGGCACTGGCAACAGTAATAGCAGTAGCGACAGCTGCAGTAATGGAGGTAGTGGCAGCAGGAATAATAGTAGCAGCAGCTATAAAAGAAGTAGCAGCACTAATAGCAGAAGCAGTATCAGCAGTAGAAGTAGTAACAGCAGTGATAATAGCAGAAGTAATATAGATAATAATACAAAGAGTAGTAGCAGTAATAGAGTGCAGTAATAGCTGCAGCAGTAATGGCAGTAGCACACAGAATCACTATTATAGCAGTGGATGTTTTGGTGATATATTTATTTACAGTGTTATTATAAATACTACTAGCAGTGTAATAAAAAAAATCCAAGGAAGGTTGTAGTACTTGTTGTAGTTATAGTTGAGGAGGAGTATTTCCCTTCCAGTACAGACTCTGTGTGGTGGTGGAGTTGTCGTCCTTCATGGATGGTTTGCCTCTTTGTGTCTCTGTGGGAGTTGTTCCAACATGAATTTAACTTCTGTATCGTTTCCATGGAGACCTCACATCCAACTGTGTCCTGTCAAAGTGGCTAATTAGTTAATGAAGCACGTTGTGACGCCCGACCAGAGAGAGAGACAGAGAGTATATGGAGGAATTTGGCCGACACACATTTATTCAATTTGTCCCTTTCTTTTTCTCTCCCTCCATCCCTGGGCCTCTCCTCTGCCTCTCCTCTGCCTCCTCCCTCTCAGTAATCAGTTCTGCTGTAATCAATTAGCAGGGTGAGGAGCAGCAGAGGGAACAGGTGCAGCTAAATGTTAATGAATTCCTCTGTGGCCGTTGTCACAGTAACACTGGCTGAATATTTAAACTGCTCGTTGGCCCGATGACTTACACCACAGCTGATGGAGGGATATACACACCATCACTCTGTGTGTGTGTGTGTGTGTGTGTGTGTGTGTGTGTGTGCGTGTGTTAATATGACACCAACAACATATGTGTGTATGTGTGTGATACAATCTGTACATGTGTAAGTGGCCGCCTGTTCTGAGCTGTGCGTGTTTTGTTTATAATGACATTCCACTTCAATTTGCACTGTTAGTGTAAATTGTACCATGACAACAGAAATACTGATTTCTGATTGGTTGGCGGTATCTATTATCAAACTGTCTCGTTAGTCTGTCTTCTGACTTCTCTACCCTGTCTGTAGATACTGGCTCAGTGAAAGCAGCAGGGCACTGCAGTTTTTAGCAAATGTTCTAGGAAATAGTGCATTTATTGGGACTATTTGCAGCAGTGGATTGATACACATTTGCTGATCTAATATAAATTTCTGGCAGCAGGGCAGTGAATGTGGGATTTAGTCAAGATAAACTACAATGTGTATGTTCATGGTGATGAATGGTAAACAAAACAAAAAAGAAAAAAAAAAATTTTTTAATTAGTAAATTCAATTGGTTCTTACATTTTTCAAAAACATTACCATATATCAGGACTAGTGAACTGAATTAATTAGAGATTTTATGGAAACAGTAATTATTTACATTCACTGTTTCTCACAAGATAATGGTATCTGTATCATTCAGGCCTAATAAATGTGTTAAATGCATTTCCAACATCAGTTGCAAAGCTGATTTTTTGACAAATTTGACACCTGTTTGAAACCATCGTCACATCCTTTGGTGTGTTCCAATACAGGTAATACTTTACTGTTTAGTCTGCTACAAAAAGATTTTGTATGTCCCAATATTGGGGACAGCTGTGGCTCAGGAGAAAGAGCAGCTTGTCCACTTAGCGAAAGATAGGCGTTTTGATCCCCTGCTCATTCAGTCTGCGTGCTTAAGTATCCTTGGGCAAGATACTGAACCCCAAATTGCTCCTGATGGCTGTTCCATGGCTCTGTGACTGCATGTGAATGTTTAAGCTGAGTAGGAGGTGACATCTTGCATGGTGGCCTTGACTACATAAGGTGTGTGTAAATGGGTGAATGTGACATGTAGTGTTGAAGCACTTTGAGTGGTCAGAAGATTAGAAAGGCGCTTTACAAGTGCAGTCCATTTACCGTTTACCAGTACATAGTACTGAATGCCAAATATAGTATGCCAAAAATACCAGGATGTCTTACTGCATCCCATCATATTTGGCAACACATTCTCACTCTGACATCGTCACATATTGGTGTTTGGTTAAGGATTTTCCATGTCAAGATATGACGTGCAAGGTACCCTGGGTGCGTTGGTTGTTGATGGTCTTGGACACTGTGTCAACTTCAGCCTGTGACATGCATTGTCTGTTTTCAAAATACACTTTAGTTTTTACAGGAAATGTACAGTTTTCATACAGTCTTATTCAAATAAACACAGTGCGTCAGTGCAACACTGCGTATTGATGTTTTTCCTTCAAGAACATTTGCATATGGTTACATTTTACCTACATACGAACGTGGTTGGGTTTAGGCAACAAAAACACGTGGTTGAGTTTAGGAAAAAAGGATAGGGTTAGGCTTTACAATAACACCGGCCTCCCGTGAAAGTCGGTGGTTGTTGGACCCATCCACCACCCCTCCCACTCGCCCTACTTGGACTTTCGCCACCTTAACTTTCAATGGTGTCCCGAATCATTTCCCCCTGACGACGCCTGGCCACATATTATTCCGCTGTAGAAAAACTGCCTTTTTTGTTAGTGTCTAATGCTGGAAGTCACTGACCAAGCGCCGCTTTTTGACGACTTCACTTGCAAGCTTGGCAAGTTGTACCCCCAAGGTAACATTAGATGATAACGTTAAGATCTGCTGCTTTCCAAATTTTGCTTTAGACTGTGATGGATATATGAGCAAGAGGGTCAAGACGCAATGTTATGAGGAAGTAGAAACATTGCTTTGTTTCTTAGCTCATTACTGCCCCCTGCCAATCTGCAAATCAGTGTGAAACATTTGTCAGGAATGTTTATCATGTCAGCCGTGTGCATGCTGGCCTGCATGGTCGTTGTTGCATTGTTGTTGTATTGTTCCATGGTGCTATTAGTGGTGAAAAACATGTTTGGGCCCACAGAGCATAAGCATGAGTCCTTCAGTGGCCAGGCTGTCTAGCTAAGTTGCTGCTAACTCCCAACACTCATGAATGACACTGAAAACATTAACTGACATGATTTTTCATAAATCATGTTCTGATGATCAGTCATTTCAGTATGTTCACAGGAGGTAAACATTCTCTTGGGACAGCGGGTGACAAATGACTTTCAATTCTGACTATTGCAACGTAATTTGGAGCAAAACATGAATTTCAATTAAACCAAGTTTATTTTATCAAATACACTACCTGATTTTGTTACAGGCCCCCCAAATTTCTAAAGTTGCTCCAACCTCATTATTGATGATTAAATTTAAGTGAAGTTTTAGTTTCTATTATCAGTAGTTGTAGGAGTGGTCTAAGGGGGAGCAGTAAAAAACAAAAACAAAAAAACTTTACATACCTAGCAGGAGAAATTATGAAAGATACATGATGAGGTTATAAAGACGTAGAGGTAGAGAGGGGTGAATACAACAGAGACAAAAAGAGAGAGAGGTGGATCGAACCTTTTTTTCTACCTTTCTAATTCATTAATCTCCATTAATGTTCAGCCCACCTAACACACACACACACGCACACACACACACACACACACACACAGATGTACACACTCACAAATACAAACAGGCACACACGTACCGGGTCATACTGAGTAAATCAGCAGAATGGTTGATGGCAGCTGCCTCACAGAACAGAGCACACTGGGGGCCGAGCAAACATCTGCTGTGTGTGTGCGTGTGTTTGTGTGTGTGTCAGAGGTGGGTTGTTAACATGCAAATAAAGCAATTAAAATTCATGCAACGCACACCCAAACAAACACACACACACACACACACACACACACACACACACACACCACGCATAGAAATATATGGAACATACAGTATACCCACACATGGAAACATGCAGTGAAATTCAAACTACAAGTGTTTTACTAAAACAATTCAAAGTAAACACACACCGACTCAGCACCAGACTCATCCGCACAAATATAGAAACACATCAGACACCAGACGCAACTCTCTGCTGTTTTCTGATCAGATTTACAGTCCCTTCTTGCATCTTACCATTATGAAAACATAGAGCTTAGTTGTCTTGCTCTTTGACGTACCAGAGTTAAACTGAGATTTAAACAGAGAAAAAGAGATGCCTTTTTGTTGTTTTGTCTTATGAGTTTCATATTAAATATAGTCATGATATCGGCAATCAGACTGTAATTCGCCTCATCTCTCTCTCAACATGTCTATAATGCGTGCTTTTACTTCTGCCCAATGGCACATTGTCTCATAATCGGTCCATGTCCTCATTCAGAGGACTTTTGGCAACTTGATTTGTTTACTTATTGTTTTCCCTGTCTTTGTTGTCTTTCAGAGCATCAAGGTGTCATGGCAGCCACCTCCGCGCAGCACCCAAAATGGCCTCATCTCTGCCTACAAGATCAAATACAGGAAGACCGGTCGCCGGGGAGACCAAGAGGCAATCGAACCCAACAACTTCTGGTACCTGTTCACAGGTGGGATTTGTTAACAATACTGATAATATTTGTCTGGTATTAGTAGAATATTACCAAACGTATTATTTAATGGTTTAATTGGCTGGACCAAACTACAATAAAGGACCCAGATTCTAAAAATCAGCCTAAATTTTACCACAATTTACCTCAGTGCGTGCGTGCGTGCGTGCGTGCGTGCGTGCGTGCGTGCGTGCATGGACATGTTTGTGTACAGGTGGGTTATGCAGTGGACTTTTGTCAGCTTGTATTTTTGTTTTTTTGCATGTATTTGTAGTGGGTTTTTTTCTTCTGTGAAAGAAAATCTGCATTTGTATGAGTTAACATTTGCGTGTGTGTGTGTGTGTGTGTGTGTGTGTGTGAGAGAGAGAGAGAGAGAGAGATAGAGTGTGTCTGCATTCAGACTGCCACCAGCTATTATTTCAATTTGAGGTTTGCAGGATTTGAATGAAACTGATCTTCCTTTTCATTATTTTCCACTGATAGTTATCTTCATATGTCTGTCCACACAGGAATTCATACCCCAGTGGCAGGTGTGTTTGTGTGTGTGTGTTGAATCTGATCTGCCCACTGCTAGCCCGGCTGTCAGCAGTTATCACACCGTTTTACTGTCTGAGAATAAGAAGCTGAATTTCAATAAATAACATGAAAAAACTACAGCTTCACTCAGGAGATTTAAAGACATCACATTAAACCTTTATTAACACTGTAATTCACAGTAGACTCAGAAGTGACAAAGCTAATAACATTTCCAGTTAGAAGAAATTAAATGTGTCTGTTTGCTCTCAGGCTTGTCATTTTAAACAAACACAAGAGCTGAAGGTTTGTGGCTTCAAAGTGCAAACATTTCTGTTAAAAGCTGGCTTCTGTAGGCTCTACATTTCCACCACTACCTAGAAAACAAAAACTGATTCAATAAAATTGACAAAGAAAAACTTACAAAACTTACTACAGAATAATGGATAAATCAAGGCTACAAGAGGCATACCAGTTTGAGCTGAACTTCTGCCAGACACCCCTTTTCTATTTTGATTTTGTTGCTTGCGAACACCTCAATGGATGAGGTACGGCTGATTCACGAGGTTTAAATGAGGATTTACCTACAAGATACCTCCTCCAGATCCAGCATGTACAGATAGCATCTGATAAAAGGTGATGCAGCGTGATAGTCTGATGCTTGCATCCAGTTAAGACACGGTGTTAAGTCCAAGTCAATGAGTGACCAATATGGACAAAGTCAAGGGCTAGTTAAACGGCACATTATCGCCCAAAGTAAGGCACAAGGGGCCATCATTTATGATAGGTTTGTTTTTAGCCCATTCTCATTCTCAAGTTGTCAAATGCTGTGGCTTTGACACACTTCTTGGCATCTGATATCAACATCAAGGCGCTCATAAGATGCACTGAGCTCTTAAAGGGATAGTGCACCCAAAAATGAAAATTCAGCCATTATCTACTCACCTATATGCCGATGGAGGCTCTGGTGAAGTTTTAGAGTCCTCACATCCCTTGTGGAGATCGGCGGGGGAGCGGCTAGCACACCTAATGGCATACGGTGCCCCAGACTAACGTCCAAGAACACAAAATTGAATCCACAAAGTATCTTCATACTGCTCATTAGTAGTGATCCAAGTGCCCTGAAGCCCCGACATAAAAAGTTGTACTGTACTGTAGCCTGTAGCTCTGACTGCTTCTCTGTGCTCCGCGTTTCGTTTTTCGAAATAACTTTTTATGTCGGGGCTGCAGCACACTTGGATCACTATGGATGAGCAGTATGGAGATACTTTGTGAATTCAATTTTGTGTTCTTGGACGTTAGTCTGGGGCGCCGTCTGCCATTAGGTGTGCTGGCAGCCCCCCCCCCACCGATCTCCACAAGGGATGTGAGGACTCTGGGTGAGTAGATACTACCAACCAAAACCAAATGACACTGATGTTTTCACAAAACATTATGTAGCTTGAGTCAGACAACTCAGGTTTGAAAAGGTTTTTTCAACAGCAGAACATAGAGTTTAGTGTCTAGACTTCATCACTCCCCGCCGATATGTTTATATGAGGTATTAGAGAGTGATTATTAAAATATTTTCCCCCCTAACTGGAGCCTGCAGGTGGATGTTGGGGTGGAGGTGGGGCTGAAAGAGCAGGCAGCAGTACTAATGCAGGGCAGTAGTGGCGAGGCAGAGGGAGAGCTGGGGAATTTTTGCAGCTTAATAGACCACCAAATTGGGAGGATGTGATTTGTAGATGACATTTGGAGAGTGAGCTATGAAATGTGTATATGAATCAGTGCAGCTCAAGTAGACTGCCTGAACTAGCTCGCAGACATCACTCCATTTACGTATAGAATGCACTAACTGACCTGACTTGTAGCTAACATACTTGTTTTAACTCATTTTCTAAACCTAACCAAGTAGTTTTGGTGTCTTAACCTAACAGCGATTGTTTTACAACATTACCCATGTGTTATAATGTGTTTCAGCCGTGCATCACATTAATATGCTAAAGGGTGCCCTGACAAGCACAGTTAAAACGCTTTGTGAACCTGGCTGAATAATGTGCTGTATAGTAAGCATGAAAATACTGCACAATTCTTACTTTAAATCAGGTTTTTGTATTCAGTGACGCGGTTGCTTTCTGCTGCCTCAAAGTAGCAAAAAAACAATGATGTCCCTGACCACAACTCATTTGTGTCCATCTGAAACAGGCCTGCTTGCTGTTTTAACTACTGTATTTCCATAATTAAAAGAAAGTACTCCACTCATTTATGGAGGCATGCAAGCCACTGCATAGTCAACAACTCAATCCAACAATAAAAAGCCTTGTGTTAACAAATAAAGAGATTCTGTTCATAGAAACTCTGTCAGGGAGCTTTTAGTCTGAAATAGAAACAGGACGTTTTGAGTTAGAATAAATGGGAAACATAAAATAAGGCGAGACTCCAAATATGTAGATGTTCCATAGATGAGCAGCGCTGCTAACGTGGGCAGCGTGGCTGCTCTAACCTGTTCACAAGAGGTTCTGCAATGCAAAGGTGCTGCTCACAGAGGCAGTGTGGCCTGCCCCAAGGCCAGTAAGCCCCAACTTTAGTCTGAAGTCAAGAACAAGTCCTAAACTTTGTTTTGAGCAAGTCATTATGAGCTGTTCATCAAATGTAATGATTTTAAAGAATTCACAGGAGCAAATCAAAGCTTTAGCAAATTCAGATCGCTTTGTCATTACAGCTAGAGACAAAACCAATCATCATAATCATACTGAATTCATCCCAAAGGGATCCTGAATCTGGAAGTGAACTGATTTTAACTGCTGAATGTTTCGTCAGGTTTCTACCATGCTTAATCTTTATGTCCAGTTCAGCTGGCGCAGGCATGACAGAATTGTAAGCACTGTAGTTGTAGCTCTCCCCTGCAGTGCCAGATATTTTCTAACAGTGTTGTTCATCTTTTGTACTGATGAAAGGCTACTGCCAGGAGAGTGTCATTTCCATCTAAGCCTTAAAGAGCTCCAACAGTCAGTCATACAGTGTCTGAGCTACCTGCAGAAACCCAGGGCACCTGAAGTAACTCACTCTACTGTGTATATTCTAGAGCACTGGTGTCACAACTGAGGCTTAGTACACATAATTATGCATATGTGTATGCTGTAAAGCACTGTGAGGCAAATTGTGATTTGTGATATTGGGCTTTATAAGTAAAATTGATTGATTGAGTGAGTGAGTGAGTGAGTGAGTGAGTGAGTGATAATTGGAGCCACTCCACATACTGCAGTATTGGAGGAACCTGATTATTCAGAAAGAAAGATTAAACATATCTACCTGATGACCATTTGGTACACTAGTATGAACTCCTTTGTTCTACATAAACTCTGTTGTTATGGTAAACACATGAACATGTATATCAGTGGACACCTGTGTAGTTCACGTACAAACAAACGATTAATGTAGCTAAATGTCAGCTACAATAATATGCTCTCTCTCTCTCTCTCTCTCTCTCTCTCTCTCTCTCTCTCTCTCTCGCTCTCCCTGTCTCTGCTCCTCTCTCTCTCTCTGTCCAGGTCTAGAGAAGGGCAGTCAGTACAGTTTCCAGGTAGCAGCTATGACGGCCAATGGAACAGGTCCGGCCAGCGACTGGTACACCGCTGAGACGCCAGAGAATGACTTGGATGGTAAGAACAGAGAGACAGAGGGAGAGTGATAGCAGTGATCTGTACACCAGCATGTAAATACCTCTACTGTCCCTACACGTGCATAAATATTTAACCACTGAAAGGCAGAGATGGATAGATGGAGGGAGGATTCGCCTCAGGAGAGGAGAGGAGTGAGGGAGAAGGGGGCAGGAAGGAAGAGAAGGTCTACAGGAGAAGGGGGAGGTGGAGGAGAGAGGAAAGGAAAAGAGAGGAAAGGTATTTTACAAGATACTGTCTTGCTTTTACATGAAATTTCTGTGTATCATAAAAAAGACAACTAATAAGAGATATTTAAAAAAAACAAGTAACAGAAGTAACTTTACTTAAACTCCCTATTAAAGGGAAATTTCGGTTTATTTCAACCTGTCTCTTATCGTCCTAAATTTGTTTCAAGTGACTAGTGACATAAAAATAATAGTTAGCCATTAGCCTAGATACAGCCGGGGCGCATAGTAGCGTCAGACCTGTTAAAACGTAAGTGAACGGGCAACCTTCAAGTGCAAAGTTAGTCCACTAAACAAGCTTTTTTTCCACAAAGACCGCCTCATATCGATAGGATAAATGTCAGAGAACGCAAAACGACATGTAAACGTGTTGTCTTACCTTACCGGTGTGGAGCCATGTTTGTTTACCATTTAGCTCTGCTTTCCAAAGCGCAGCCGAAATATCGCGAGAACAAGCAGCGATCTCATACCGTGCCTGAAATCTCGCGAGCTCTACATAAAGCCCAGCTGGATGCTGCTCCAGGTGGAGGTGTCTCGTCCTCAGTCACATCCAGACCTTGAAAATAAGGCTGCAACCGGTCCCATTCCTTGCAACAGAGGCATTCCTGTGAACACTGTGAATTAATTTTTTGTTTTTTGTTTTTCCTTCAACAATAAACGCACATGGTCAGGTTTTGCCTATACACACACATGGTTAGGTTTAGGCAACAAAAGCATGTGGTTGGGTTGAGGAAAAAAGAACAGGCTTCGGCCTTACACCTGCCTCCCAGCTGAAAGTTGGTGGTTGTTGGATCCACGCAGCACCCCTCCTGCCCACCCTACTTCAACTTTTGCGGCCTTAAGTTTTTGTCCCACTGCATCTCCCTCTGATGCTATGGGGCGCCATTACACAACAACTGCAACATGCTGACATGAAAGGATGGCTTTTTTTGTCAGTGTCTAACACCGGAAGTCACTGACAAAGCACCAGTTTTCAATGACATTGGAGGAGAAATTTGACTGCTGTGTAGAAAGGTAGTTAAATTTTGGTTGGAATAAATATCAGGTTGTGGATATTTTAAATGTCTGATGACTTTAGAATTTCACGTTGTTTGGAGGTTAACATGTTTTGCAGATGCTGAGTTTTGCTCTCCATACGTCACGACAAAACGTCATTATTCTACATCAAGATAGCGTTAACATGAGATGTTTTGAAGGTGCTAGATTTTGGTTATTCAACAACACAACTTAAAACCAACAAAATATCACCATCACCTGTTGGAAGTGTTCAACGTGTAATTGACGTAGGCATCAGTGGTTTAATTTTGGTCACCCAACAGCACAACATAATGACATTGTTGACCAGCTCGGGCGGCTGCTGTATGAATAACATAGTAAAACACAATTGTAATAATATAAAATGTCTTCATATGAGAGGTTATAATTGTTAAAATGTTTTATAGCTGCAAACAAGTCCATTGCAATGTGGTAGAAATCTTCCTTTTTTTAATGTTTGTGAAATGATCATGAATGCTAAAGAGAGGGGTTTAAATTGTTACCTAACATTAATGGTTAATATTGTTTAAGAGGAAAGAAAGAAATGAAAGAAAAACATGACTTCTGAGGTTTTATTGAGAAGTTGTATGAAGACTCCCACTGCCACCATCAGGTCAGAATGTCAGTATTGTAAATGACATATTCTTAAGTATAGAGGACAGGAAGCCATGACAGTGATTATCACACAGTCAATTTTACCAAAGAAGATGGTTTTCTACAACAAAGAAAGTAAAGAAAGAAAGAAAGAAAGAAAGAAAGAGAGACAGAGAGAGAGGCAGACAGGCTGGCAGCTCTTGGGTTTGGTCACCTAATAATTTCTAGCAGGATAATTAGAAAAGTTGACCTCAGGCTGAATCTCAGGAGGAGGGTGTCCTGGTCAGCAGGAAGCAGCTGAGATAAAAGAAAAATATATAAATAAATAAAAACATCCATGCTAACTGTGTTTCCAGGCCGGGACAGAGGGAGACGGAAATCTGATTTCAATGGATTATCACTCAATAAAGTGATATGAAGCGTCTCCCCCGAGGACTGAGAGCATGCTAATCTGATCCAACCTGATGCTGAAAGATAACACAAAGTGTCAGGGCTTATTAGGGCTTAATACACAGCAAACAGCGTTAGCATCTGTTAGCCAAGGCCGCTTCGAGTACCTGCTACTGCTGCTGCTAACAGGGTGAGCTTTAGAGCTGTCGCTGGTGGAGGTCAGGGTCGCAGCCAGGACTACAGATGTACTGAGGTCCACCCCCTTTATGTTGTCCTCCTCTTTTGGTGTGACATTACATTGTTTGTGTTCTTGCAGAGAGTCAGGTGCCCGACCAGCCCAGCTCTCTGCACGTCAGGCCACTGCCCAACAGCATCATCATGTCCTGGACTCCACCGCTCAGCCCAAACATCCTAGTTCGAGGCTACATCATCGGCTACGGTGTGGGGAGTCCCTATGCCGAGACGGTCCGAGTGGACAGCAAGCAGAGATACTACTCCATCGAAAACCTTGGTGAGGAGGGGAGGGAGGTGATAATGGTGATGGTGTGCTAAGCTATGCAGTGCTGCAGGAATGTTGACTATTATTGGACAGAATTGTCAACTCGTTACGCTGTTTCCATCTACAGTCTGACATTGCTTCCACTCACACTGATTTCTGTAGGGGAAGGGGGATTAGATTTCCCCAAACCAATCACTAGAGACAAATGTATCCACCTCAGTCTAACGTCATTATAAGTCCATACTGATGTGTCACCACACGCCTGTTTTTAAAGTGGAGCAAAACCAAGTTTAGAAGATAGCAGCATCTATCAAAACTATTGCACTCGCCATTGTTGTTATTACTCCTCATTGAATGTGGCACACCACATGACAACAGCCTGACAAAGGCATTCGTTCCTCCAGTGACACTGATTGGCTATTTGTAGTGCATCTGTGGAGCTCATTGAGCATTGTTGTACCTCTGGTTCCTTTTTCTTGAAGTCAGTGGGTTTTTTAATGGGTTAGATGCCTGAAATAAGGTGTGTGTGAACTTGCTTAAAAGACTTTCATGTTTTGTCCTACAACATAAAATACATCAGTAAATACACCACCCTGAATTTTAAAGATTTCTATGTGTCTTGAAAAAGGTAGTTGCTAACAAGTGGCTAAATGAGACTACAGAGCGCCACCACACCGAGCGCAGCTTTACAGCCTCATTGTGGTGGTGACATTAAAGTCGTGTGACCGTGGTATAGTTGGTTTATATTTAAGCATTTACACTTCAATAATGATAAAAGTGGTGTTCATTTGTGAAGATCATCTTGCTGAACAAAATGTGTAAGTATCATAAACCTTTGTTTGCCGCAGAGCTTTTTTTCTGCAGTAATCCAATCAAAAAATCCAGGTCAGGCTAACCAAAAAAAAAAATCGTCATCTCAGCACTCTATCGAGGGAAACTGCTAACCTAGCTGCAGTTCAAACAGAAAAATTTCATGAAGATGTTACAAAAACATTTAAATGTGAAATTAGTTTAAAAACATGACCATGAAGAGGTCATCTGTTGTAGTAATGTTAACTGTACCGCTAGCTAGCTAACTAGGTTACACCAGGAGGCGTGTCTGATGGATAGAAATCATTGAATTAACTTTCCAGACACTACTGACTGTGCAGAAACAAGGTAATCGTATTTAACCTTTTTATGTGTTACGAGTAGATGCTAAATTCTCAGGAGAGCAATTAGAGACATAGTGTGGTTGATATGTTGCATTTGCCTTAAGAGCTTAAAGCTATAGTGCGTAACTTCTGTCGCCTCCCAGCAGATAATGCGTTATTACAACTAATAAGCCGGCGGCACTTCCATGTACACAGAGTAACACTCGCCAGTTGCCACACACCGTACACAGTAACACTTGCCTTTGTGGTAGGATCCACTTCTGAACCGTGTCTCAGCCGCTTCTCCACCATGTTGTTTTCTCTTTCTACCTGCGCTCAACCTCTCCGCTCTTCCTCCCCCTCCCTTCTTGTTGTGAGGAAGCATTTGCTGTGTGCCAGCGCGGGAATGTCGCCGGTCTACACGCATACTAAAAATGATATATATTGAAAAAGACCTCAGACACAACCTGCCCCAAGGCTCTTGAAAGCTGGCACAAAAGAGGCACAAAAGTAGCCCCCAGCTCCGGACCTCTTGTTTTCCAGGCGGTTAAAGACGGGGCATGTGTACTAAGGCTGCTGTCAATCATGTCAATCACTGCTCGTGAACTGTGGTCGTGAACTGTCAAACTAGGCAACGCTGATCAAGATTCTTTTACCACATTGTATATTTCTCACCACAGATGTTTTCAGAAACATATTTTAGTAACTATAAAATCTTAGTTAACTATAAAATGAGAAAGTTTGTGACCTAGTCGCCATCTGGGATACTGCCAAAAAACAAAGCGCCACCCACTGGCCAGAGCAAACATTCCCATTTCTCATTTTCATTTGATCAGCATTGCCTAGTTTAACAGTTTGACCGCAGTTAATGAGCAGTGATTGACATGATTGACATCTGCTTTACAGACTCTGATTGGTTGTTTTCCAACAGCTACTGTAGATTCCAGCAAATGCCATTAGATGCACTACAAGGAGGCAGAGGTACCTGATGTTTTTTTTTTAGACTATTTGTCCCATGTACTGCTGTGTGGATACAGTATCAGCAAATATAGCAAAAGTTATCTTTATAAAAGTTACCAACTGTAGCTTTAATAAGTCTGAAAATACTGCAAATAATGTATTTCTGTAAATGTGGAAAATTAACTGCCCCAGGTTGCTAAAATGACCAAATTGACTCTTCGCTAAGCCCCACCCCTTTATAATAGTCTGTCAAGCTGTCGAAGCTAACATGGAGCCCACACTGTAACTAACTTCACTCTCTACGTAGAAGAAATACTATTAAATTTTTGGGAAACGAAAAAGCGATTTCAGAGGGAAGCAGACAGAGGGGTCTACAATATGTGTTGGAAGGATATATCCAGAATGTCAAACTGTCTGAGCAGCAAAAGCAGGTTTAAAAGACAGTTAGAAGCCAAAGCCGAACTATAGACAGATGACGGTATAAAAGTGAACCATCACATCACTGGTCATCGAGACAGGAGACAATTAACATTAAGGGAAACTTTGCTGATATTCAACTAGCTGTATGTCATTGCAGTGTGTGCAGATCAGTGCTGGGCAAGTTACTCTCAAAATCTCATATAAAACATATTATTAGTTGCCTTCATTTGAAAGTAATAGGCTACTTCAGAATATTACTCTCTGCAGAGTAATATGTTACTTTTTACACTACTTTTGCATTACTTTGACCAAAATGACCTCAGAAGAATTAATGTTGATTTTAAATGGATGAGGGTCATGGTGTTTCACAGCAGGTAATCAAAGCACAGAAGTTCTAGTTTATGACTGTTCATTTCAAATCCAGTGCTGCGTAGGTCTGACCCATTCATGCATTCACATACAGTGGTTACATATACTAACATCACCCAGATGTGCCGATCAACCGGACTAGTATAAAGTAAATTGGAGGTCAGCTCCTTATCCCTGCTGCTTTCAAGCAGCCTTAGGATGCAAAAGCAGGACGGAATACATTGTACACGTTGCAGGTATATTAATGGAGACATATGAACATGATAACACATAGTATACCATGACCCAGATGTGCCGATCATCAGCACCCTTCTATAATGTAGCGTATGAAGACATGACAAGACTCAATAACCTTCAGAGGATATTTTTTTCTGGTGGTGCACTGGCAAAAGTTGTTGTGGGTCATCATGTTAATAGTAATCATAATCATATTACCCGAAACCCTGTTGGTAATGCATTAAATTACCACATTACTGCTAAAATGTAACAGATTACTGTAACATGTTCCTTTTGTAACGTGTTACCCCCAACACTAGTGCTGATGGTATATGGTTTGCTTTTAGCGAGCTAGCTGACCCTACACCTTTAAGGGTTTGGAGATGAAATATGATGTTGTAGCACCTTCCGACCTCTCTAGGTAACTAGTTTCATTATTACATGTACCCCAGGCACCACATTCAGCTCAAAATCCACAAACTCAGTCTGAAAATGAAGACAATCTGAAAGGACTGCATCAGAGTCTATGCAGCACAGCTGTGTGGTTGTTGGACCCTTGTCGGAGCTTGCCGATGCTATGTTTTGATTGGCCAGTCAGCATTTCAGGGTCGGGACTAAATTAAGAAAAACATCATCATACTCAGTCATGTTGGTCTCAAAGAAGCCGATATGGGCCATGCCCAGTTCTCAGTTTAAGGAACTGCAGTAAATTTAAAGTTAAACAGCATGCGAGAGCAGAAGTTATGTGACCTGATCTGACTTACTTCAGTAGACTGTCCTTCAGCAGGTGGCCACCTCACTGTGAATTTAAAATGTGCTGTATGTGCTCAGTGCAGGACAGAGGAAAGGAAAAGAGAGGAAAGGACAGTAGTGTCAGACACCTCTGATGTCACAGTGGCAGACCCCAGAGCCAGAGACACCTGCAGAGAAAGGGAGAGGTGGAGGTCTGGGAGTCATGAGCAGAAGATAAATCACTGATATATATTTTCCATAAGAGCCAAAAGCTTTTTTCTCACCAAAATAATACATCATTTCATGAATTTACATTTCCTATGTACTTATCAACACCAAATATTTAATATTTCCCACCCCTCATAATTCCAGCCGCTCCTGCTGACAACAAAGCGCCAATATTGACACAGTGCCTCCCTGTTCCACTTATTCATTATGATGATGAAATCCCCATTTAATTACAATCAATAATTTAAAAGAATTTAATAAGAAAGCTGCTTGAGGTGGAAATCTAATTGTGAAAGGAAGAATAAGAGAAAACATCCTCCCCAGCGACCACAACAAGCAATCTGCATGCCAAAGAAGACAATAACAAATTGGGTGAGTTTTTATACGCGGGATGAAAATTCCCGCCTCAGGTCCTATAATGGAGGAGTAATGAAAAAATAAAATCCAGCCGTCATGTTGCATGCACACATGGGAGCGAGTGCACATATGTACACGACATTTATAATTCATAGAGATCATTAATTCATGCGGTGAGGCGTCTGGGGAGCAGAGCAGGCGTGTTTGTTTAACTGATGCAAGGGTTTGACGCTACATGGAAGGAACATGCGGCATCATCACATCAAGAGCGACAAGCGGCAGCAGCACCAGCAGCTGCATGACAATCACTTCATATAACTGCAGTCACCGTGTCTTCAGGTACATGTCAGGTCAGGACTCAGGAAGCAAAATCATGTCATTTAAACCTGGAGGAAACCACTTTCACTGTTTCACTGACAAAGCAGATAAAAGTAGATTCTTTAACCTGAACCACAGTCATCTATCAGATTTACTTATTACCAGGGTTCCTACGCAAGTATGGAAAGGTATGGAAATAAATTTGATCAATTTCCAGGTATTAAAAAGTATGGAAAATGAAAAATAAAGTATGGAAAAATATTTATGTTTCCAGACTAT